TCTCGGCGTCTGTTCTGTGCAGCGAGCGGCCGACTCCTCAATAAACGAGTACAGCGTTTCCTAGCACCTGTCGCTTACTGAGTGTTAGGAATTATAAATATGAGCGTAGTTCGTCTGTTAATATCACATGCACTTTGTTGTTTTTAGTTTGTTACTCAGACGCAGGCAGTGCTCTGCATGAGACAAAAAAGTAATATAGCCGAAACCACCGCATAGCCGCTCTTTAGTGTAGATGCATGCTGAGTTTATCAGACGATGCCGTGATTATAAATGAGAGTGACTCCTGGATAACATGTATTAAAAGGCGTCGTGTTTAGTCACTATTTAGTGCGGTATTTTTGACAATATTAACTCATCATGACAGTAAAATAGGGCATTGTAAGTCAATATACTGCAGTATTTCCTCTCAATCAGTAGAAAACATGGTTAACACCTGCTCATGCATGAAAAAACAAATACCGTCATGTACCGTGAAACCGGTATAATTTTGAAAAATACCCTGATATAAATTTTTGGTCATACCGCACAGCACTATCTCTTTGGATTTGAGACTTTAGTCTTTGCAACTTTACAGATCTTCTTTATGCACCAAGAGCTTGTAACACTCCAAAGAGAAAGGAAAACTTGAACATATGCATCATATGACCCCTTTAATTACGTAGCGAAGGGGGAGGGGCTATCAGACTCCGATTATGAATGACAAAATAACCTTATATAATTCATACTATACATGGTTGAGTACATAGTGTACGAGTGTATAGTGCGTCATTTGGGACGCAGCTTATGTTTTATTTGATGGGGGGCAGTGAGGGTCCTGGATAATATGCAGGGGGCGCTGGCCCAAAAAAGGCTGAGAACCACTGCAACAGAGAGTGAAGTGCTGCAGTACTAGTGTACGCGTGTTTGTCTGCTATTTTGAGTTCACTTTTTAGTGCACAGGTGGCCGTCTGGCCTTTTCTTTCTTCACAGTTTCTCCTCCTACACCATGATATGTTATGTAACACTCTCTCTCTCTCTCCTGTCCGTTTTATTAGTCAACTTGGCCTTTTCTTTCAAGTAACTCAAGACTTCAGCCCTATTTAGACTTTTTTCTCTGATTGCCGAGAGCCGCACTGCTGTTATCTGCATACTGCATACTATTCCACATCTTATCTCGCTTCTGAAGAAATAAATGCCTAAACTGTGCCATACGCTCGTAGTCCAGACCGAATTCAGTGCAATCTGAATTGCCAGCTGTGCTAATTAG